AAAGGATGTTTAAGTCCGATGCTTTGAAATTCAAAATGTGTAGAACCAAATTAGTCGACGTTACAGATAAAACTGATATCAAGGACATTATCCGGAATTACCACGAAAGCAAGTCGAATCATCGTGGAATTGAGGAAACGCATCAGAGAATAAAAGAAAAATATGTTTGGCCTAACTTGAAAAAATCAATCCAAACATTTATAAATGAATGTGAAATTTGTCAACAATGTAAAAATGAGCGTCATCCGATAAAAATTGCGATGAGTTTCACCCCCACTGCATCAAAACCTTTTGAAATCGTACATATCGATACTTTCACTTTTGAAGGTTCAAAATTTCTCACAATTATAGACAGTTTTTCTAAATATGCTCAAGCATATCAGATTACTTCGCTTTCAGGAACTGAAATTGCTGATAATCTGATATTATTCTTTTCTCATCATGGAATTCCTACCCGAATTATCGCAGATAATGGTACTGAATTCAAAAATACCGTTGTAACTGAACTTTTGTCACTTCACAAAATTAAGCTTCATTTTATTTCGCCAAATCATCCAGATTCTAATGGAGTCGTTGAACGATTTCATTCAACTATCACCGAACATTTAAGATTGTTGAACACAGAAGGCTTTCAGAAAACCCCTATAAAAATGAAAATGTTGTATGCCGTTTTAGCCTACAACCACACCTTACATTCTGTAACAAAATTAAAGCCTATAGATATAATCAATGGACATATTACGTCGAATGAACCATTCGATATCAAAATCGACCAATTACTCCTCAATGACTATACCAACAGCCACAAAGAGCGTACAAAACTATTGTATTCAAAAATAAATTCTGATCTCATTCAAAACAAAGAGATAACGCTAGAACGCGTTAACAGAGATTGCGATAGTCCGACTATACTTGATAACCGAGAAACAGTATACGTCAAAAAGCATGTTAGAAAAAAGCACGCCAACAAATTCTCAAAGCCGTGTAGACTACAAAGTGTTAATACGGAGAAAAAGACTTTACTCGTTTGACTAAGCCTCGAGCAATTAGATAAGAAACTATGTATGTAATCTACGTTTACTTTACTCTTAATTGCACGCTAAAAATAAGATTTTCTTTCGAATATATTATTTTACAGGTTCCCAGGAATCATAGGAATCCATGGTACGATAACGTTGAAGAATTTAGAAAATAACCTAGGGTTGATACCCATGAAATTAGGGACCGCCAAAATTACAAAAAATTGTCACTCAATACTGTATTTTTACGACGTCAATTTAATAATCACTGAAGTTAATGACCTTAAGAAAAAAAACTGAAAATGTTGCGAAATTAACCAGGAAATATATTGAGCACTATAAACACTCAGCAAATTACCTCAATGTTTTGTATTTCTTAGAAAGAAAAGTAGACGGAAAGCTAAATGACATTTTTCCCTCTACTTACGAAACTGTTCCATCATTCTCTGTTAGAATAAAAAGGGGATTAATAAACGGCTTAGGTTCAATTTTCAAAGCAATCACAGGAAACCTGGATGCTTCAGATGGTGAAAAATTCGAGTCTCTAATAAGCGATTTGCAGAATGATCAAAACAAGTTATCAGAAGCTATCAATAGTCAGAATACCTTATCTGTCGAACTTATCGATAATTTCAATAAAACTGTAAGTCAGATTACTCATAACCAAAAGCTATTGGAAGCTAAAATAAATCAGCTTTTAACAGCCATGATTAACACACAAGCCTACATAGAAAATGGCTTTTTCTTGAGAGATACAATCTCAGAGATCATGAATATCTATCATATCATAATTTCAGTACTCCAGGATATATAAAACTCACTTACTTTTGCAAAATTGGGAATTATGCTCCCAGTGTAATCAAACCAAAACATTTACTTCAAGCACTAAATTCAGTGGGATTAAAACTATCCACAAAGCAACTCCCTTTAGAAGTTACTTTGGATAATATCCCGATTTTTGAAAAGCTCATTAAAATCGGCTGTTATACAGTTGATAGAAAAATAACATATATTCTTCAAATTCCAATTGTTCATACATTCCAATTTGATTATTATCACTTATATTCAATTCCAACCTTTCATAAGGGTCTGTTCAAAGTAGTCATCCCTTCTGGAAAATATCTTGTAAAGAATGAGTTGTACTTCGCTTTTGCGGGAGACGCATGCACGGAAACGGTCACAAAACAGTACGTTTGCAAAGAACTAGATTTAAGAAGAATCAAGAATCCAATCCCTGTGAAGTTCAACTCCTGGTACAAAAAACTCCCACTACCTGCCGAGAAGTAGAAGCCGTAATCACAGAGCCAGTAATGAAGAAACTGCATGATTTCGGACAATGGATCTTGCTTATATCCAATGAAACCACCATTACATTAAGCTGTCAAGAAGGCCAAGAAACAGTCAAAGTTTTGGGATCCTACTTAGCCGAAATTCCAGTCGGTTGTACACTGGAACTAAATCAAGAGCCTATATCGATTGGAAGTCAGCCAATTATTTTTCCAAATATAGATAGCAATACTACAATGCTACCAAGCCGAATGACTTCAGCCTTCATCTAGACCAAATAGAATTTGATGAAGTTCACAAAGTAAAAAGAAGATTAATAGAAAATCGTGTTGACATCCATTCACATAAGGTGTCGCACATTCCCAGTTCTTGGACAATCCTGTTGTATGGAGTACTGCTGCTGCTACTTTGCTGTTTTGTCTACAAGAAGATCATTCCGAAGATTTTTACTAAGCCGAAGAAGAACCACAAAGAACCCCTATTGAAGAAGTTGATCTTTCCAATGTGCAACTTCCTCGTTAACCCTCGAAGTTGCATCTACAAGGGGAGGCGTTATAGTACAGAAGATTTACCCCTACCACTAAAGAACAGGATCGAGTTCCCTGGATCAGCGCTTTGCCTTATCCAGTCTTATATTATTGTAAACAGAGTTAGATAGTCTGTTGTTAGCGCTCATACTATATACATCAATAGAATTGTATTTTTGATAATCGAGAATAAATCTTTTTAAAAAGCAAGTAGACTGACTCGGTCAGATAATTAGTGGGATACTAGTAAGAGCAGCTTCATTTATAACGTTTGTTAAAAACTCTACCGATACACTGCTGTCCTGAGAAAGTTCCAAGGAGGAAAATTGCCTGTTCATATGTATGCCAATCTGCTTTTGGGATGATCCAGTATTGAGGATTTGTGTATTGGCTTTGTGTGTATCGAGGGTCACCTTGCATGGAAAATGGTCACTGTTATGAAGATCATCTAAGACAGACCAGAGGACACGTCCAGAAACTGTGGATGAACATATAGCCAAATCAATTGCTGAGAAGCTTTGACAACGTGCAGAAAAATGTGTGGGTGAACCATCATTGAGCACTGTAAGGTTATCTCTTTCTAATAGTTTCGGAAATTGAGCGCCCTTGACAGTCAGTTCCTAGTAGATCCCCATAATGGACTGTGCGCATTGAAGTCTCCTACAAGTAGAACTTGTTCTTAATAATATTTGCAACACCTCCATGAGCTCTGCTTTCAGATGAGATATCTTCCTAATGATGTTATACCTTTTTTAGGTTATACGGAAAATTGGGACGTAAGTGAGTCTCTTGCACACGTACGCAGATGGGGTCATGGTCATGCAATAATATTTTTAGGTCGCAATATTTTTGTACGATACCATTGCAGTTCCAATAAATATTGATTCCATTGTATGGGTCATGTTTTTTGTTAAAGTTAAATTATAATGAATAGTGAGTAAATGTTATAATGCCAAGATAATATAATATATGCAGTGGTATTGGATATAAATAAACAAACTGGTAAGTACTGTAATAAGTTAAAGATTATAAATTATTATTTATTAAATTATTATTATTATTATTATTATAATTATTATTATTATTATTATTATTATTGTTATTGTTATTATTATTAATATTGGGGACAAAGGCCTGTGAGTAGCCTCCGCGAGGCAAAAGCTGCCCAGGCAGGTGTATAGCGTAGTACAGACTTATAGTCCATCAGCTTCTGCACCTGCAAGACCGTCCGTGCGTGGTGAAGAACCACATACTGCTAGAGCTGTCCCTGCTTTTAAACAGACATGGCGGATCTAGAGGAGTAAACCTCAAAAAAAACCGCAATCCCAAGGTATTTGTTGTGCTGAGGGGATGATGGCAATGAGTTAGTGTGTTCTAAACGGCTGCCTCCGGATACCGGGCGACCTCCGGTTGAAACTAGCCTTGCTATGATAAGCTGCTCTTCATAGTCGACCTCCATATCAGAGCCTACTCGTGGGAATAAGATGAAGCATACTCAAAACCAAAACATCCAGGAGGCGCCCGCCCTAAAAAACGGGTAGTGCTGGGGGAGCACTTTCCAGTCCTTCAGCAGGCGTGAGGTCGATGGGCGATTGCCCCCGGTTTCTGCTTGTTAAAAGAGAAAACGATAATTTTTATAAAGTGAGCCCTTTTGTTATATCAAAGACATTATATGGAATTGTTGGTGAAGTAAAGTTAGTGAGAAAGGTTCGAGAAGGTCTCCTTGTTGAAACTAAATCTACACAGCAGACTATGCGACTATTCCCGATAAAAAGGTTTGGAGAATTTGATGTGAGTATGGAGGCACACCAGTCCCTCAATACCCGAAAAGGCGTGTTTTTTTGCAGAGACTTGCTCAACTGCTCGATTGAGGAGATATTGGATGAACTGAAAGGTGATGGTGTCATACATGTAAGAAGGCTAAAGAGTAAAGGAATTGAGAACTGGTTGAAACTCCAAATCACGTGCTGATATTTAGGAAAACCGTCTTACCAAAGGAAATCCGCGTTGCGTTCCTTAAGGTAAATGTAAGGCCTTATATTCCCACCACCTACCATGTGTTTCAACGGTCAAGCTTTAGGTCACACAGCTGGAAAACTGTCAGAAGGAAAAAAATATGTCCATGTGGTAATCCTCCACACGAAGGTCCTTGCCCGGAACCCAAAAAATGCGTAAATTGCGAAGGTCCACATTCAGCAGCTTATATGAATTGTCCAAACTAAAAGCTGAAGCAGCAATACAGAAAGTAAAGGTAATGGAAAACATAAACTATGCAGAAGAAAAAAGAAAAGTAAATATAACCCTCCAAAAACCTACTACGTCCTATTCTGCTGCCGTCCAAAAGTCATCAGAAATGAACATTCAGCAGATCATATCACAATAATTCCTCATATCGAAACTGCAGTTAGAAACGCAATCTCATGTTCACATCTAAGTGCGACCATTTTAAAGCCCCATCATCAGGGCTAATCTTCCGTAGAGATAGATCTGAAAAAACTATTTATTTTATTTATTATGTACCGTCCATCCCTACATTACTATTTATTTTATTTATTGTTGTGAAAGTATTTTATTTAGATACATTTAAACTCTTAAAATCGCAATGGAATCAATCATACAGGGAACTGCAATGGAATTGTCCAACGGTACTGTGAGCTTAGGCTGATTTTACAGAATCACTGATCCAATGTGCTTATGTATTCAAGAGAGCCATCTCAGACCAAATCAAACTTACTCTCTTAGAAAATATAACATCTTGAGAAAAGATGTCACAGCTATCGAGCGAGCACATGGAGGAGTTGCGATAATTTTACGTGAGGATGTCTGTTTTGAGCCTTTATGTGTAAAACTCGCACTACAAGTTGTTGCAGCTCGATAACAGTTCTTTAAAGGTAACTGTCTGTAATATATATGTATACCTACATGATGGAAATTGGCGAATTGGTGACATCGAAAACGTTTATATCTCAGCTCCCAGCACCATTCTTGTTCATTGGAGATTTCAATGCGCCATAATCTCCTGTGGGGATCAGGACGTTTAGATCACCGAGGAGAATTGATAGGAAACTTACTAGACAGAGAAGATCTGATGTTGCTAAATAACAGGGAATGTCCACCCATCTGGCTGCTCGTTCCAGATCTTTCTCTGCGATTGATCTAGCGATCAGTTCAACATCCATAGCCGATCGCCTCCAATGGAGAGCTCCTAGATGACATGTATCATAGTGATCATTTTCCTGTATCACGTCCTTGACATATCTAGAAGTAGTCCCCAAGTGCCCACTATGGTGATGTCAAAGGCCAAGTGACAGCAATTCGAGACTACTTTATCAATGTGAGTCCTGTACAAGATAACTAACATTGGTATTCATAGGTTTACTTCAGCTGATAATCAGGCTGCGGTTGACAGCATTCCGATTGGTGGTGGATCTCCAAGAGGCCGTCGGTTACCACTGGGTAACTCTGAATATCCGATGCCGTGAGATCAAAAAAGCGTGCACTTAATATTTTTAAGAGGAACTGCACGGTATCAAACATGATATCTTTTAAGAAAGCTAGAGCTAAAGCGCGACGTCTTATTCTAGAAAGCCAGAGAAAATCATGGAAAGAATATGTCTCCACTATTACTACTGAAACGACAGCAAGTGAAGTATGGAATAAAGTCAGAGCCGTGTATGGTAGACAATCAGTTAGGCAAATCACACATCTGCAGACCTGTAACAGCAACATCATTAATAGCACAAATGAGGTGTGTAATTTACTAGCAGATACATTTGCTACCGTCAGCAGCTCGGAAAACTATAGTCGCGAGTTCAGGTCCACCAAAAATGCAACGGAAATACCACTAGACTTTTCAACAGACGTATCTTTAGCGTATAATGAGCCATTCCAACTGTTTGAGCTAGAAGAAGCCTTAAAAAAGACAAATCGATCAGCTCCTGATCCGGATATGGTAAATTATGAGATGATCCGTCATCTTCCTCTCCATGTCAAGCTTACTCTCCTCAACATATACAACAGGATATGTCTTGCAGGAATATACCCAAAAGACTGGAAACTTGCAATCGTCATTCCCATTCTTAAACACGGAAAGGATCCACTCTTGCCTGAAAGTTACAGGCCCATAAGTCTTACTTGCTGTCTCGGAAAAATATTAGAGAGAATGGTAAATGAGCGCCTGTCGTGGTTTCTTGAAAAAAATGGCTTACTTGTTGATTACCAGGCAGGATTTAGAAAAAATATGTCTACAGTGGATCAACTTGTCTATGTAGAGAATGTCATCCAAAATGGGTTTAAAAACCGTCACCATACAGTAGCTATGTGTTTAGACATAGAAAAAGCTTTTGATTTGGTCTTGAGATATGATGTTCTATACCAACTGCACAATTGGGGCTTTAGAGGAAATCTCCCAAAATTTTTGAAATCCTTCCTTACAGACAGGCGTTTGCAAGTACGTGTAGGAAACACTCTTGCAACAGTCCACACCTTGGAAAATGGAATACCACAGGGATCGACACTTAGCTGTACGCTTTTTGCGATTGCTATTAATAAACTTGCCGAGTCCATAAATCCGGTGGTGGACAGATGTCTATACGTCGATGATTTGTGTATACTATCATCAGGCCCTTCCATTGAAGAAATTTCTGGTAGCTTGCAGACAGCAATAAACCAAATAAGCCAAAATGCGATAAACAGTGGTTTCACATTGTCAAATACCAAAACAAAGTGCGTACATTTCTGCAGACTCCAACGTCAGCATGATGGGCCACTACTTTATCTACAAGGCCAATTAATCCCAAACCTAGGACTACGGTGCTGCCTTGGAGCATTCCGTACAACGAGAGCAGCTAGCCTTTGCGCTGAAGCAGCCGTCGAGCCATTAACTCTAAGGAGAAAAAGACTCGTACTCTCATACGAAGTCAGTACATCTGCTACGCCACACCATCGGAATTTCTCTCTGTTAAGTATGTATGATGAAACCTATAATAGAAGGCCTACTATCACAAGACCCCTCAGTGTGAGAATTTGTGAAATATCTCGAGAGCTAAATTTGACTAAAATGCCAGTTTATCCAGTCAAAAATGAAACCCCATCTTGGCAGATCCCATCTGCAAAAGTTAAAATTTCACAAAAAGGAAACACCAACAGTACAACTTACTGAGGTCTCATTTTCAAGGTATCCTGGAACAGTACACATGTGCCGAAACCATCTACACAGACGGTTCGAAAACTGCCTCAGGAGTTGGTTGCTCGATTATCATAAACGGGGTGGCCCATTTATGGACTCTCCCAGCAATGACATCGATCTTCACAGCCGAACAGTATGCAATTCTACAGGCGCTTAAATACTGCCAGATAGAGTCGAAAAGCAACCTTACTCTTATAGTCAGTGATTCTTTGAGCACCCTACATGCTATGTCAAATCGTTATTCCCGTGATCCATTAATCTTAGCATGTCTTCAGACATTAAAGGTGTTGATGGATGGCGACTAGAGGGTAGTCTTTATATGGGTACGAGGACCCGTAGGTATACTAGGAAATGAACTGGCAGATCAATCTGCAAGGCAGGCTGCTGCCGCAACTGAAATAGACTGTACAATAGTGATAGCACCAGACATGAAAATGAAAATTAGACAATGTATAACAGAAGCATGGCAAAGACAGTGGAACAATGAACCTACTCAGCTAAGAACAATAAAACCTGATGTAACAAAATGGACACCTAACGTCAAGATCAGTAGAGAAGAAGCCGTCCGGATACATAGACTGCGTTTGGGCCACACAGCATTGACACATTCCTACTTACTCTCGGGCCAAGGTCATCCAAATTGTCCGTCATGCGAGGCACGATTAACTGCAATGCATATTATGATAGAATGTCCAGCATTAAGCAACCTTAGATACAGTTTTGGTCTGTCAAGAGATTTCGCAGAAAATCTGAAAAAGCCTGATCTAATAAAAAGCACGATATCGTTTCTGAAATGCACGGGCTTTTACTGGAAACTCTAATTACACTCAACCAAAACTGAATCACATAATGACACGCAACTAATGACCCAGTAGTCGATGCTGCATAATCGCAAGAACTACTCTTATTATTATTATTATTATTCTAATTATTATATCATTATTATTATTATATTATTAATATTAATATTATATTATTATAATTATTACTACTATTATTATTATTGTTATCAATATTATTATTATTTTTATTATAATTATTTTATAATTATATTATTATTTTTATTTATTATATTATTATATATTATTATTATTATTATTATAAAATTATTTTATTATTATTATTATAATTATATTATTATTGTTATTATTATTATTATTTTTTTTATAGCCGTAGGGCTTTGTTACTCCCATTAATCGGGGTGTTCTGGCTTAACCCGGACGTTTCAAGCATCAAAGGGGTAAGCCTCAGTAGTGACCTCACTAGGTACTTGCATTTCCCATAAATTTTCTTACTATGCGGGCAGTTGCCAGCAAAACTCCTTTCTGTATGATTTTGTGAATGTTTTCACTCAGTTCCAGTGCTTTGATGTTTTCTAGCAGGCTTCTTGGTATCACCCCTGTAGATGACATTATTATTGGTATTGTTTCCACGTACTTCATTTTCCACTGGCGTTTAATTTGAAATTCTAGCTCCCTGTATTTTGCAACTTTCTCATTATTTTTGTATGTTAAATTGTTACTATTAGGTATGGCCACATCAATCAGTGTTACTTTCTGGGCGCCCTTGTCGACAATGATTATGTCAGGTCTGTTTTGTTTTATGTATTGATCCGTAAGCACAGTGCGATCCCAGTATAGTTTATACTTGTCGTTCTCGAGGACACATTGCGGTGTATATTTGTAGTACTGTAGCTTACATTCGGTCAGTTTTAATTTGTATGCCAACTCCTGGTGAATGATTTTGGCAGCTATGTCGTGGCGCTCCTTATAGTCCGTTGGAGCGAATGCTTGGCATCCACCAGTTACGTGTGTTTCGGAGTCCTGACAGCCGTACCTGCATTTATCAGACTGTTGCAAGTTCTTAAGTATGAACCTCTTGTAATTGTTGGTAGGGATGACCTGGTCCTGTATAGCTACAAGGAATCCCTCAGTCTCAGGGAACATTTGGCCTGAGGTAAGCCAATAGTTTGACGCTTTCTTGTCAACGTTTTCTTGGCTAATCTCGTTTGCATGTCTCCCATGTAGAGGTTTTTCAATCCATCGTTGTAGCTTCTGTTATAATATAATTATTATTGTTATTGTTATAATACTTATTATTATAATTATTATTATTCTGTATTTCACTCCTAGAGGAAGGGATGAGCTTGACCGGAACTCTGCCTGAGTTCTAAGGTCTTTAGTCGGAAAGGGTTT